AATTCTGCTACTGTTTAGTGCATGAAGGGGCTAAAGCCGGAATGACCAAAGGCTAACCCTTGGCTAATAAGCTTTTCTTTCTTTCTTTCTTTCTTTCTTTTGTTAGCTGAACAGAAAGGTGAGTGTGCTTGCACTAATCTGGCTAGAGGGACTGACCAGGAGCGTGCTGGTGACAAACTAAACTGGAAATAACCCACAGGAATTTTCCAACCCAACCTCAGGCCTTTTGCTGGCAGAAAAGAAAGGTTGTCACAGGACCAGCAAAACCCTTCTAATGAAAAGCAAAACTCTAGAGTTTTATCACCCTTTAAAGAGGATCACAAAAGCTTTTAGGTCTCAGAGGGCACCTAGGAGGAGTTTCAACATGAGGAGTTACGGAGTTACATCCTCTTTCTCATGCACGCGCATATTTCAGGAGGGTTCTCCACGTGTCAGAGGAAGAGCGCCGCGTCTTCCAAAAACTCACCCCAGAAGCTGACAGAGTTATTTTAACCTGCCCCTATATTCCGTTAGCTTCTGCTGCAAGAACCAGGATGGCTACCCTGCTGGAAGAAAATGAAAGCCTGGGGCTACCATGGGGGTAGCATCGCCCTTCCCCAAATGCAAATCCCAGAGATGCAAAACCTGCCATTTTTCACCCAGTGGGGAAGTGGCTCTGCAAACATTGCTGGCCATTGGTCTGTTGGGGACATCAAGGGCCAATGAAATGGCTGAGCTACGAGCCATTAAACTCTATCTTTCAAGTGACCCCACCAATCCCATGAGAGCTGATTGGGAGGGGAAATTCAATATAAAGAAGCAGGCGCCAAGGAAGAGGAACTGAAATTGCTCTTCTGTCTGCTAGTGGGTAGCAAAGGCGTGACCCTTCAGCTCTCCTGCAGCTTGAGCTTCACTCCCGATGACCCCATAGACCCTTCCCTTTCATTTCCTTAGCAACATGAAGACTCCCTGCCCACCCCCAACTTCCCACTCTAGCTTATAACCCTGGGATCTCCTGTGGTTTGTCATCCAAGTATTACCCAAGCTTGACCCTGCTTTACTGAGATCAACGAAGGCTGGAGAGATGCTACAAATCCAGGATGCCTGCGCTCACCCAGAATCACAGAATGGAAGCAATGGAAGGATCTTGGAGGTCTTCTTCTCCAATCCCCACCCAGTGCAGGAATCCACCACTGCAGCACCCTGACAGATGGCCACCCAGCCCTTGCTTAAACAAACCCAGCAAGGGAAGGTCCACCGCCTCCAGAGGCAGTCAGTTCCACACCTGAAGGGCTTCTACCTTGAAGGACAGATTGGGCATCAGGAAGAAAGTTGAAGGACATTCTTCCTGATGCCCAATCAAATCTGCTTCCTTGTCATTTAAACTCAATTGTTTTCTGTCTTGTTTTTGGATACCACCCACAACAATCCTGCTGTGTCTTCTACATAACAACCCTTCAGAGATTTGAAGACATATATCATGTCTCCTACTGTCTTCTCTTCTCCAGGCTAACCTATCCAACACTCTCAACCATTCCTCGTTAAGTTTTTCCTTCTGGGACCTTTATAATCTTGGGTGCTCTCCTATGAACATGCTTTGATTTGCTAAGGTGTGGTAGCCAGAACTGCAACTTTCACCACACATTTGAGTATTTTTAAAGCAAGTGCAGCCAGACTTCCTGAGTGTTACTTCTGTGTTTTCTTGTTTCAAAATCACCTTACTCTTGAATAATTTAAATTCCTTCTCGGCACTGTTGTTCCTCCTATATTCAGTGACATATGATCCAAAGCTTCTGCCTTTTAATAAATCATCTTAGTTGGCTGCCAGATGCCCTCCAATTTTTTGTTACCACAGACTAACATGGCTCTCCTTCCATAATGATCCAAAGTTAGAAAGTTAGAACAGATGAGGCTTTAAAATGAAAAGGAAGGGGGCTTGGGGGACAGGGAAATTCCTGGTGGTAACTCAGGTCCTAGGTAAGTATCTCTCCCAGACACAGTCCAAAATCTCTCTTCCCCAGCATGGGGACTAACGTTTTGCCAGCACAATACCTGCATAAATAGTAATAACATCTGGATTAATGTCTTCGATTCTGTTTAGGTAATAACTTGGTTCAAGCCATTCATGGATCCAACCACAGAAGTTCAGAGAAAGGATGCTCCCAAGAATGGGACTATTCATTCTTAAAGTACAAGATTTACAGAGTTGCCTGTTACAACTCTGGACATACTATCAAAAGATGTTTCTCCCAATATGCATTATTCCTCCTAAAACTTGTTTTCGACCCCACAAACCCTCTCTATTCCCCCTCTTCTGCCAGCAAAGTCTGTTCTAAAGTCGGGTGTTCAGAGCTGGACCAGGTTCAACTGTGAGTTCCAGTGTTAAACCTCAGGGCTGTCCAGTGGGTGGGCAGAAGCTTCAGCTTGACTGAAGGATGGACTTTCCCTCTAAAACAACTCTCTGCCACAAGATTGGCAATGGCTGTGCCAGCCTCCAGGTTCTGAGGAAGCAGGCTGATAAACGTCACTTGGGAGGCCACAGAACGAAAAAGGTCTCCACCAATTATAATGAGGCTCCAGAAATCTCTACTTGGTTGTTCTGGGCAAGTCCCTTAGAGCATCTTGTAGCAATGAATGTTCTGCTCAAAACGGGACATGGCTTCCCCAGCACCATCATTCACTTCTTTCCCCCTTCCAAACATTACCTCAGCTTCAGATTCTCCAGGAAGTCCTCCATAGTAACTTGGTCCAGGAGGACAAAGTCAGCTTTTCCAAACTCCAGACTCTCTTGCTCTGCCATGTTCCTGGGGAATGTAGTCCACTTGCCGGGCAAAGAAAACTGTTCTCACTCAGCAGAGGAAAGAAGGGTGAGTCAAGATGGGTGGTTTCCTTCTGAGTGAGAAGGTGGAGCTTGTGGTTAGCAAAAATAACTGCCTCTTTCCAGGTCCACCTCCTTGAACTGTCAGAACCTGGGACATTTCTTTATGAGTGGATCACACAGGATGGATAGGTTCTCTCTGGAGAAGGTCCTAGAGTCATCCACCTAAGACCCTAAACCATGTAGAACTTTATAGGTGATCACCAGAGAGGACATCTAATGTGTCCAAAGGAGTCTGTTGAGACAGTGAAGCCATGAAGAGCTCTGTGTATGTTGCTGCTGTGATTCAGTCACTTCTGACTCTAGATATTAACTAAGGGTTGTCTCCATAGATTTGAAATTTTGGGGGTGGGAGGGTGGAAGGAAACATTTGGTAGTGGAATTATGCCAGGCGATGCACAAGCAGGATGTCCAGTCAGAGGCATCTGAAGGACCGATATAAAATGTCTCCCTTGCTTTCTCCTCCTCAGGAACCTTCACAAAGCAACGAACAAGGATGTGTCACCTCAAGGTGCTGCAAAGCTCTTTGGGCCGTTTCTACAGCAGAGGACTCACCAACTTTGCACATTGAGCCCTCGTGACTTAAAGATTTAGCTTATTCATGTGGGGGAAAGCCAAACTGTCACAAGGATCTTGCGACCGAGTATTACAGCACCCTCCCAGGAACGGGAATGGCATGGTTGCTACTCAGAACTGTCCTTGTTTCTCCAGCATTTGCACATTTTACCAATTCCTTCCTCCCCACCCTTCCCTCGCAACCACTTCCACGAAACTTAGTTCAGCATTTCTGTGATCTTTCGGTATCCCTTCTTGAACATCAACTGAAAGCAAAAGTAGAATGGATTCCCACGTGCTAATTCAGCTCATTATGTCAACCTAGTCTGTTGTGTGAACCTACCTCGTACAGCTCAGGTATGACTGTGGAAATTCCACTCCTACCTACCTACTCATCCATCCATCCATCCATCCATCCATCCATCCATCCATCCATCCATCCACCCACCCACCCGCACACACTCCTGCTATTCATGCAGGCTAAGCAACCTTACGCAGAGCTAAGAAACAGTACAGCAAACCAAAGAAATTAAAGGGATTAAGGAAAACCTCCTGCTCATTCCTTTTTCTCATCAACTGCGTCCAACCACAACTTTCCCGGTCTTCCCATTCTTCTCAACGAACCACTGTTCCTTCTTCTTCCATGTATTTTGTGATTATGATCCTCATTCGCCATGATCAAACCCCACTGAAGTACTTCTTTTATACGCATCAGGCCTTACACGCACCCACTCATTCATTGCCCTTCATTCTTGACCTTTCCTTTTGCCACCCAAACTGAACCCCTGCCCTTCCCGCAGCACTGAACTTTGGTTTCTCCAAGAGCAGCCATGTTTGCTCCCACTGACGCTCAGCTCAAACACGTCGTAACTTGAGACCTCCTGGGTTGCTTACGGGATCAACCTCCCCCAAAATGCACCCATGGGGCTCAGAGGATGCCACACACCTAACCAGGGCAGGGAAGGGGCTGTGCTTGTTCAGCCTGCTAACCTTGCTTAGCATTCAACTTGGTCAGTTTATGGATTAGCAGAGACATTGCGAATGAACCATTTTAAGGCTACAGCACCAAAAATTTCAACGGGGCCCAATAGCCCCTTCTCTGACAAACCAATGTTATTCAAAGGCACCCGCTTCTGTGAGCCGAAACTGCAAGTCTTCCGCCAGATGTTTTGCCACTTTGAGGTTCAGCTCTGGCCTGTGGTCGGTAACGTCATTTCCTCTCA